GGCGGCTGCCCGACGGGTCAGACACCCAGATGTGGATTGGGAAACGGCACGTTTTCCCCATTGTCTGCGGGGAGGGTCCCTTAGATCTCATCTAGCACGTTGTTAAATGGCGATGTTTTTTCTTCCCTTTTTTTCCCCCTTTTTTGTCGCCAAAGAGCAGTCGAACAAGTTTCTTTAGAAAGTGGTTTTCGGCTCTGGAAGCTTTCGCGCCGGAGGAACTTGTAGCTTTAACAAACTGAAGCAAGGATTTATTAGTTGCTGGCTTCCCCCTCCTTCCCCGTAATAGGAAACATCGCTTTAAAATTCCGCGGGTTTCCAGGCGTTTTGCCCTCGCTTTTGCACTTTTGTATTTCCCCTGGATGGCTTCAGTGCGGAATAAGCCAAGGAAGGAGGGGAGAAAAAGAGAGAGAAACGAGGGAGGGAAAAATAAAGAAGAAGAAGAAGAAGAAGGTAGCGTTGGCCTCTGTGGCTCGAATTAGAGCATCGCAAATTATGCCGGGGGGGGCGGCGGGGGGAGGAATGGCGCGGGCAAGGATCAGCCTTGCTAAACCCCGGCGGCACCGGGGCCCGGGGGGTGCTCGGCGGCCCCGGCCCAGCGCGGGGCTCCGTAGAGGAGGAGGCGAGGAGGCGAGCATAGGGGTGTGTGTGTGTGTGTGTGTGTACGTACACGTACACTTTTTTATACATATGTATATGTATATACGGACACTTTTTTATACATATGTATATGTATATACGGACACTTTTTTATACATATGTATATGTATATACGGACAGGCTCGGCTGTTGCCCCGAGAGCTTGGGAAGGGCTGCGGCGGCGGTGGTGGTTCCTGACTAACTCGCGTCTCGCATCTCCCTCCCTCCCTCTCCCCCCGTTTCCAAAGGTTTGGTTCAAGAACCGCAGAGCCAAATGGAGAAAGAGAGAGAGGAACCAGCAAGCCGAGCTTTGCAAAAACGGCTTCGGTCCACAGTTTAACGGCCTCATGCAGCCCTACGATGACATGTACCCCGGCTACTCGTACAACAACTGGGCAGCTAAGGGCCTGACCTCCGCTTCCCTCTCCACCAAAAGCTTTCCCTTCTTCAACTCCATGAATGTCAACCCTCTGTCTTCTCAGAGCATGTTCTCCCCTCCAAACTCCATCTCCTCCATGAGTATGTCTTCAAGCATGGTACCCTCTGCAGTCACCGGGGTCCCCGGCTCCAGCCTCAACAGCCTGAATAACTTGAACAACCTGAGCAATCCCTCCCTGAATTCTGCAGTGCCAACGCCAGCCTGTCCTTATGCTCCTCCAACACCTCCGTATGTTTATAGGGACACATGTAACTCGAGCTTGGCGAGTCTGAGACTTAAAGCCAAGCAGCACTCCAGTTTTGGCTATGCCAGCGTGCAGAACCCCGCTTCCAACCTGAGCGCTTGCCAGTACGCGGTGGACAGACCCGTGTGAGACACCCGAGTAGGAAACACTGCATGGGAATCCCTCCCCATTTCCCGCAGAGACTGAGAATTACACTAGAAAGTAATGGGCACTAGAGAGAAAGAGAAAGGAGGAAAAATCAGAGAGAGGCAGAGAGAGAGAGGGGAAGAGGCAGAGAGAGAGAGAGGAAAAAGAGGAAACCACTGAAATCAGATAGTTCCTTTGTTTTCAAAGGACCTCCTACAGATTCTGAGATCTTTCTTTCACCAGGAGTATTTCAACAGTTACAAGGACATATATATATATATATATATATGGACAAATGTTTGACTGGATATGATATGACATTTTAATGTTACTATAAGCTTGTTATTTTTTAAGTTTAGCATTGTTAACATAAAAATGACTGAAAGGATGTATATATATCGAAATGTCAAATTAATTTTATAAAAGCAGTTGTTAGTAATATCACAACAGTGTTTTTAAAAGGTTAGGCTTTAAAATAAAGCATGTTACACAGAAGCGATTAGGATTTTTTCGCTTGCGAGCAAGGGAATGTATATACTAAATGCGACACTGTATGTTTCTAACATATAATTATTAAAAAAAAAACATTGTGTGAATATCAGTTTTAGAATAGTACCTCTGGTGGATGCAATGATGTTTCTGATATTGCAATGTAAAACATGCCCTGTGTATAACATTTCGTACAATATTATTGTTTTACTTTTCAGCAAACATGAAAAAAAAATGTGTTTTATTTCATGGGAGTAAAATATACAGCATACAGTTTTGTCTGGATTTTTATTTACTGAGCCAAGCTGCGCACCGGTAACTGGTCTGCAGTGATTGACTGATCGTTGACACTGGATCTCGTTCTCTGGAAACACAGGGCAGTACTTTTTATTGCAATACAAATAAATGCTGGCATTTTTTTCACGTAAAAAAAAAAAATAAATCCCTCGCGCCAACGTTGCATGCTAGAGAAACGCGGGGCTTGCACACGCTGCCTTCCGTGCAGCAGGATCCCTTTATTCCCCCCCGCAGCCCCGAGAAAATGGATTATTTGACATCGTTGGCCTCGAGAACTGCCAGCCACAAAGTTGCTGTATCTCGAGCATAAATTTCTCCCGCTGTGAAGGAAGCTTTTATTACATTAAAGAAGAGGGGGTGGGGAAAAAAAGAAAAAAAAGGAAAAGAAAAGCCAGTTTGCAAACAAACTGCTCCTGTTCAAAACAATCTGTCCCCTTTGCCGCCCCCTGCGCTCACCTTCTCCCTTCAGCGGGGAGATCCTTCATGTAATATTACATTTCTATTTCCAAATCCCCCTTTCAGACGTGAAGAGAAACAAAGAGCAGCCCAAATAACCGCAACCCCGCGGAGCGCGGGGGTTGAGAGGTTAGCCCCGAGTTTCCTGCGACTTCGTGCTGCAACACGTCGTTGAAGGGAAAGGTCGTGCTCTCGTGTGTTTTGTTTTAAATAATATCGACCCATTCATTCTCAACCTGCTTGTTCGTGAAATTATACAGGATTATAACTTCGCCATCGCCGGACAATTGAAACAAATCATGATGAATTGCTGCTCGGCCCTCCCATCGGCTCACACCCCGGGCGGGCAAGGAGGGGCCGGCGGGGGCGGGAGGGG